ACGGGGGCGACACTGAGGGTTGCGATCCGTTGCTGGACACAGAAAAAGACAAAAAAAAAAGCTTTATTGAGATATTCACACACCATATAATTCACCCACTTAAAGTATAGAATTCAATGGATTTTAGTACAGTCACAAAGTTGTACAACCATCACTACAATCAATTTTACAGCTTTAGAATATTTTCATCACCCCAGAAGGAAACACTGTACTTATTACATTTGCAGTCACCCCCCCCACACACACATTTTCCCCCAAAAAAGTGGTCTTTTGTGACTGTTTTTTTTTTCCTTTTAGACGTATATTTATTTATCTATTTATTTTAATTGAAACATGATTGAATATACATATTTATGAGGTACAGAGTTGAGTATCAGCATTTGTGTATAATATATGATGATCAAATCGATATTGTTAGCATGCTGATCATTACCAATCATAATTATTCTTTGCACCCATTACCCAATTTCTCCCTAACCCTGCTCTCCCTCCCCCTTTTCCCAGCTCCAGGAACCATAGATCTGTTCTCTCGTTTTGAAAATTCATTGTATTATTTTGGTCTTTCCTTCCCTCCTTCCTTTTTTCCTCCCACTTACGAGTGAGGATGTGGTATTTCTCTTTCTGTGCCTGGCTTATTTCACTTAACATAATTTTCTCCAAGCTCATCCATGTTGCTGTGAATGGCAAAATTTCATTGTTTTTTATAGCTGAATAGTATTTGATTGTGTATGCCAGATGCCAAAAAAAAAAAAAAGTGTTTTTTCAACTTAGCAAAATGTTTTCAAGCTCCATCCATGTTGTAGCATTTATCAGCAAGTGCTTCATTCCTTTTTGTGGCTGAATAATATTCCATTGTGTAGATATACCACATTCTGTTTATCCACTCATCAGTTGATGAGTGTTTGAGTTGTTTGCACTTTTTAGTTATTATGTGGAATGCTTCTGTGAACATTCATGCACAAGTTTTTGTGTGGACACGTTTTCATTTCCCTTTGGTATACACCTACGAGTGGAATTGCTGGGTCATGTGGTAATTTCACGTTTAATGTTTTGAGGAACTGCCAAACTGTTTCACAAAGTGGCTGCACCATCTTACATTCCCACCAGCTATGTATGAGGGTTGCGATTTCTCTGCGTCCTCACCAGCAGTCATTATCTTTTTGATTATCTAGTGGGTTTAAAATGATACTTCATTGTGGTTTTGATTTGCATTTTCCTAAAGCTAGTGATATTGAGGATCTTTTCAGGTACTTATTGGCCATTTGTGTATCTTCTTTGGAAAATTGTCTGTTTAAATCTTTTGTCTGTTTTTCAACTGAGTTATCTGTGGGGTTGTATGAGTTTTTTTATATATTCTGGATATAAGTCCCTTATCAGATACAGTCGCATTTCATTATTTGCAGTAGTTAGGTTCTATAAATTCACCAGGCACACTGAACCATTGCTCCTAGGGGAAATATGTACATATGTGTACATATCTCCATTTATTGTAATCTTAAATCCTAAAAACAACTCATCCTAGTAGCTTCTATCTTCCTTATTTTACAAAGGAGAAAATAAGGTTCAGAAATGTTAAGTGGCTGGCTGGTTTCTCAGTACATTAGAGCACGGTGCTGATAACACCAAGGTCCAGGGTCCAATGTACCAGTCAGCTGCCAAAAAAGAAGTGTTAAGCGACTTGCCTGCAGCCCCACTAGCTAATCCCTCCAGAGCTGGGATTCATACCGCATCCCACTCTCCCCAGAGCTTCTTTTTTTCCTTTTCTTTTTTGTGCATTATGGGGATTCGAACCCATGAACCTTGGAGTTATAAGTCTAACCAACTGAGCTAACCGGCCAGGCCCAGAGCTTCTTGAATTACAGTACACTGCCCCCTATTGTCTCCATCTTCTGGTTATCTCTATATGAGAACTGAAACAAGAAGGCAGAGCATAGCCTTGTTCAGCCTCAGCTGGGAACATTGCGTCTTTTTTGCTGCTCTGTGCTATTTGCAAATGACCAGGGAAAGCTCTGAGAGTATTGATTTTGAGGTTACAAATACATTTTAGTTGTGGAAAACAGTATGGAGGTTCCTCAGAGAACTGAAAATAGATCTATCCTACAACCCAGCTATCCTGCTACTGGGTATATACCCAAAGGAAATGAAATCAATATATCAGAAAGACACCTGCACTCCCAGGTTCATCTCCGCACTATTCACAATAGCCAAAAGAAGGAATCAACTTAAATGTCCATAAATGGATGAATGGATTAAAAAAACGGTGGTATATATACACAATGGAATACTAGTCAGCTGTAAAAAGAAATGATATCATTTGCAGCAACATGGATGGAACTGGAAACCATCATGTTAAGTGAAGTAAGTCAGGCACCAAAAGACAAATACTGCATGATCTCATTAATATGTGGAATAAAAAAAAAGTGGTTTCATAGAAGTAGAGAGTAGAATAATGGTTACCAAAGACCGAGGGTGGGGTAGGGGTGGCAGGGAGAAGTGGTGAACTAATGGGTACAAAACTGTGCTATCTATCCTAAGTGAATCATTGTTCAGTATATGCATGTATTGAAACAATACACTGTATCCCCCAAATATATACAAGTAAGTGTTAAAATATTTTGAATGACTTTATGAATAAGCACAAGCAACAGAAGAAAAAAATAAATAAATGGGATTATATCAAACTAAAAAGCTTCTGCACAGCAAAGGAAACAATCAACAGAGTAGAAAGACAACCTATGGAATGGGAAGAAAATTTGCAAACTATACATCCGATAAGGTATTAATATCCACAATATACAAGGAACTCAAACAACTATATGGTAAAAAAACCAAATAATCCAATTTAAAAATGGGCAAAGGAGATGAATAGATACTTTTCAAAGGAAGACATACAAATGGCCAACAGGTACATGAAAAAATGCTCAGTATCAGTAGGCATCAGAGAAATGCAAATCAAAGCCATATTGAGATGTCATCTCACCCCAGTTAGACTGGCCATTATTAAAAAGACCGAGAATCACAAATGCTGGCGAGGAGGTGGGGAAAGGGGAACTCTTCTACACTGCTGGTGGGACTGTAAACTAGCACAGCTATTATGGAAAACAGTATGGAGTTTTCTCAAACAACTACAGATAGAGCTACTATATGATCCAGCAATCCCACTATTGGTTGCATATCCAGCTCTATTTACAATAGCCAAAATATGGAACCAACCTAAGTGTCCATCAGATGACTGGATAAGGAAAATGTGGTATATATACACAATGGAATACTACTCAGCCATAAAAAAGAATGAAATTCTTCCATTTGCAACAACATGGATGAGTCTGGAGAAAATTATGATAAGTGAAATAAGGCAAAGAAACAGAAATACTGCATATTCTCACTCATAACTGGCTGCTAGGAAGGAAGGGAGGGAGGAAAGAAGAGAGGGAGGGAGGGAGGGAAGGAGGGGAAAGAGGGAGGGAGGGAATTGGGGAAGAAGGAAGGAATGAAGGAAAGAAAGAAAAGACCACAACAACACATCGAACTTTTGTAAACCGCAACAACATGTTGAACTTTGTAAGGAGAGAACAAACCTAAGGATACTAGAGGTGGGGTGCAGGGAGGGAGGGGGTTTGGGAAATGATAGGTTGAGCAAAGGGCATAAAGAAGTATCACGATTTGTAAGAATGAATATATTAATAATAAAGAAGTCAATAGCAATAACATTAGAAGATGTTGACAAAAAAAATTTAGTATATGTGCTGCAGAAGCGAGCACACAAAAAAAGAAAATTTAAAAAATGATATTAAGGGGGCCGGCCCGGTGGCGCACTGGATAAGTGCGCCGCTTGGGAAGCGCGGCGGCGCTCCCGCCCAAGGGTTCGGATCCCACATACAGACCGGTTCCCGCTCACTGGCTGAGCGAGGCGCGGGAGCGACCCCGAGGGTTGCGATCCCGTTGCCGGTCCCCGGTCCGGTACGGGGCAACACTGAGGGTTGTGATCCGTTGCCGGACACGGAAAAAGACAAAAAAAAAAAAAAAAATGATATTAAGGGCCGGCCCAGTGGCGCACTGCTACAGTGCGCCGCTTGGGAGCGCAGCGGCGCTCCCGCCGAGGGTTCAGATCCCACATATAGACCGGTTCCTGCTCACTGGCTGAGCGAGGTGCGGGCGCAGCACCAAGGGTTGTGATCCCGTTGCCGGTGCTGGTCCGGTACGGGCGCGACACTGAGGGTTGCGATCTGTTGCCGGACACGAAAGAAGACAAAAAGGAAAAAAAATGATATTAAATTTTAAAAATACCGAATTTTAGTAAGTAGTCCAATTCATAAATGTGGAATTCGCTAAAAATGAGAATCAACTATATGTGGTTTGCAAATATTTTTTCCCAATCTGTGAGTTGTTTTTCACTTTCTTGATGGTTATCTCTTGAAGCAGAAAAGTTTTAAATTTTGGTGAAGTTCAGAGTTTATTTTTTTTATTTTGTTGCTTAGGCTTTTGGTGTCATGTCTGAGGAAGCTTTGTTTTACTCAAGGTCACAAGGATTTTCCTCTATGTTTTCTTCTAAGAGTTTTGCAGTTTTAGCTCTTAATTCAGGTCTATGGTGCATTTGAAGTTAATTTTTGTGTATGGTATGAAGAAGAGATCCAGTTTCGTTCTTTTCCTTGTGGTTATTCAATTGTTCTGCACCACTATTGAAAAGAATTTTTTCCCCCTATTGAATCGTTTTGGCACTCATGTAGAAAATCAATTGATCATAAATGTAAAAGTTCATTTTTGGACTCTAGACTCAGTTCCATTGATCTACATCTCTTTTCTTACACTGTCTTGATTAATTTAGCTTGTAGTAGGTTTTGAAATCAGAAAGTGTGAATCCTCCAACTTTGTTCTCATATGCCTTTTGAATATTTTCTATACATTTAGATTATAGTGCAGTGAGATTATTGGACTGATCAGAAAACCCTAACATAACAATAAAGTAAAATTTATAAGGAATATAAGGAATGTTCCTAGAGTTGAATGGAAATGCCCATTTCTAATATCTTTTTCTAACAGCAATTTTGGCCCTATTGTGCTAAATCCATCAGTTTTGTTACTGCTAAAACAAGCACTGTATTGTGAAATAATGATCATGACTTAATGGTTCTCTCGAATCTTCTAGTGTTTAGATTTCTTAAGGGTATTTTGTCTTTGTTTTCTTCCTGTTTAGGTAGGTGGAGAGTTTTCAAATACTGTTATCCTCCAGATGAAGAAATTTGGAAGAATTGCTATATGCGGGGCCATCTCTGTATATAATCATACTGGTCCACTTCCCCCAGGTAATGAACTCATGTACAAGATCACAGATGTAGGAAGACTGGACAAGAGGAAGATTTACAGATATTTTACATACCAGCGACTATCAAAATATTAGAAAGAGGGCTTGCTGGTTTCTCAGTACGTTAGAACGTGGTGCTGATAACACTAAGGTCAAGGATTCGGATCCCTTTACTGGCCAGCCACCAAAAAAAA